CGAATATATTTTTATTGCTCTTGTTGTTATGTTTTCAAATTTCGCACGTAAGTAAATACAATGGAAGAAAAGCATGCGTAACAATTGTTACACCAGCGCACAGTGTTGCCAAATAAAAATCATTTCTTGTATTTGTAACACTTGGTTGTGTTTGTAATAAAGAAGAAAATCGAATTCAAAATTATATAAGAATAATCATTCTAGTAAATTTTTTCATTTGTTCTTCGATTTGTTTCTTCGTTTGAGGCTTCCATGTAAATTCAAGCAGTTTTTCAGTTGTTCGTCGTCTCGCACATGCGCAAAATAATTGATTATGCGCTAGTTACAAAAGATAAACATGTTTATGAAATAAACGAAGGCTAGCAAGTGCAAGCATGTATATACTCCTTCGCTACTGAAATTTTAAGAATAACAAATGAAACTTCCATATACCTAATATAAGTGCGAAATAGTTCTAACTTGGTCAATCCAATTCAATCCAAAGCAGTATTCGGTCGGACATTGAAACCGTAATAGAAAACTCTTTTCCTATGACACAGGAAGAAGAGTCAAGTGTTTCAGTAAAGTCAAGGTTTCATGTTAGATACACCCCATCGAGTGTGTTAACTTATTGCGGGTCATTGTAAGGTAAATTAAAAAGAACAACTAGACGAAATAGCCATCCGCCACTAGGCGAAAAGTAACAAGCTTTCGATGCTTTCCTCTAGGCTTTGAGAGGCTTAAAAATCAGGAATGACCTCAGATAACATCAATTTACAAAAATTGACGTCTTCACGATCGTAATTTTGGGTTTGTTCATTTTTGCTCGCTTGTTCAATTTCAGTGTGTAATTAGAATACTAGCAATTGTATCAGTGAAAAACAATTGTACTTTCGAATTGCGACTGGTAGGAATGGTACACAACTTGTCGTTTTAAGTTGATGTGCATGCGCCTAAGTAGCCGAAGGCGAGAAATCTCGACTAGCAAGTCAATGGTCGTGGGTTCGAATCTCAAGTGCGGTAGAGTTATAAAAGCCGATAGCCTTAGATGCTCGTGCTTTTAAGAGATTACTCTTAGAATTTATGTCTCTGGCGAAATTATTAATAATAATAAATTGATTTGCAACTTTAATGATAACGCATAAGGCGGGATATTCATTTTCAAAGAGTAAGTACATACACGAACTGAGAAATTGAAAAACGGAGTTTGACGCCGGGCTATCACTGGAGAAATCGTTTATTTAAGATAAAGTCCTTTGTTGAAGGGATACTTTATTTTATTTATTTCAAATTTCTTATAAAAGTATATAAAATACCAATAGTTTGATAAAAAATAAAACTTGCGCTAGAAATTTCAAACAATTAAATTTGTAAGCTACAAGTTGTTTAAATTAATCTTTGGCATCTTCCGTCCTCTTAAATCCACAATGAATATTTAATTTCTATTTATTAATAAATTACGTCTCCTTTTATATAAAAATGTACAAGTTCGGTCTAAAGACATTGTTGATATTATTTCTATACTTCCTTCTCGAGGTCAGCCTGAAGTGACTTATAGAATCCTTTATCTGCGATAAATGTGTTTTCTCCGCAGTGTATCTTTGACAACGACCGTTATTCTTTGTTTTTATTGATTTTATAATATTCGAGAAGGGCTTCTTAGGCTCGTGGTAGGTCGAACTTTTAGCAGAATTGCGCTATAGGCATCCTATATGCCCTATATGTCGTGTACAAACGAAGCTAAATATACGCATTGCAATCGCTGATGAATTATCGGTGTGTATTGCCGATAGTAAACTTGTGTTGTACATAGAGCACAGATTTTGACAATTGGGGGCAAAAAGAGGGCTCGCACTGTTAGGACTTTGAGCCACATAAGGGTGCTGTTTTGGTTTCAAATTTCGTAAGGTGCGTCTGAAAGCGCCAATTAATTGAAATTATTTTTTAAAACATTCCTAAAAGAATATTTCGACTTTTTATAATATTATGGATGATTCAATTATAAAATTTTAACGAAACCTCTCTGTGGAGATAACACGACCACATTAAAAAAATAGGACATATTGCACTCGATTTGTAACAATTTTTTTGATGGCTCTGGTTGCGTTTGTTATGTGTTATGAATACAGCGCTATACAGTCGAACCTAATCATAATTGTTTAAAAGGGTATACATATCAAAGAAGTTTCTTTAATACCACAGAAATGAAATTATAACAATATATCCTATTAGGTTGCCTAGGTTTCCTTTGAATCGTGTTTTACACAGTTCCCTGCCTAAAATTATCTGCCGCATAAAAGTAGAAATAAATATCCTTAATATAATGTACACAACTATGCCAACATTAAATTAAAAACAAAACTAGATTACATGTACAAAGCTGAACGTTGGAAGTTAGGATGGCTGTTCTCTTTCTCTAGTCAGCTAGCTTCTTATCTCTTTTACCTTCCATATTAAGTGTTCTCCCAAACGCTCAAATTTGATTAAGCTTTCTTCTGGTGATTAATTTTCATGAACTTTCCATAGCGCGGTGTTCTTTCTGTAGAAGTATATGGTTCCCATTGATTTTAATCAAGTTCATTAAGGCTTACTCAAATAACCCGCGCTAAGCTTTCTTACTCACCCATTATGAGACCTGATTTGCCAATCTCTAAATAGCGGAAGCGCTACAATACACAACGAGGTGACAATAGATTATAGACTATTTACTAGTTACTGATATGCATCGTACTACAGATAAAGGATATATTGGGGGTATTGCATAAGTATCCTTCATAGAAATTCTTTCTTTCTCTTTGACTTGGCTGAAGATTGCGCAAATGATAAAAAATTATTGAGCTCCAAGGGTTATAGTTTGAATTTTAAAAAATCCAACTACAAAGACAAAACCCCCATGTGCATTAGAATAAGTTCTTAGCAGGAGTCTGCACAATCTAGCGTGGTTTTGCCACTTCGTTGATTCGTCGCCAATTTTAAGAATTCGTTGTGCAGTAAACTAAATAATTGTAAATACGGCACCGAAGCTGAAAACATACAAATCCAATTTGTTTGACGTCCTTGCGTATCAGTTGTTCGATGCCATTGCGTGACGTATTTAACTAAATAAAGTCAAACAAGTAAGCAAGTTATATTCGGCTGGGACCGAATATTACTGGTATTGAAATCTTTCATGTCCCATGTTTTTATTTGGTGTCATAACAAAGTGAATGCGATAAAATTTATCTTTTACCTTTTACTCCATTGAAAGGTATCATTAAGAACAAAATTATCCACCACGTCGTGACGTCCACCTTAGTTAGTTCAGAATTAAAACAGTTAGCTTTTCGCATTTTGCTATCCCAATCTTTTATATGAATTCCATATTGCTGGTATGGATTAGTAAGACAAAATTAATCCGGAGGATCGTGGTGTCCACCATATTTATTTTAGAGTTAACGCTTCTTTAGGCATATAATATATCTTTGTTTGAGAAATGTACAAAATAGTTTTAAATATTTTGCCTTCTCTACCTTAAATGTAAATCCCCAAAACAGTAAAAAAGAAAAATTTGTGACATGTAACTTCATGTGGGCATAGCGGATTGTTTCCATCTTTGTACATAAACAGTAGAGTTTTTCGTAACTAGTAGCCTGAGGGCACAAACTTTCAATGTCTCTACCAAATTTGAAGTCGATATCTGTGCGACCAGACACTTATTCGGCCAGACATGCCTTAATCAATTCCTAATATTGTGCTGGGCAAGAATATATAAAGTTTAAAGGGTCTCTGAAGCCACCTTTTAGTTGCTGCAAACTTTATGACACAATGAGTAAACCACCTATCCTTCAGTGGTGGGTATTAAAAAGGCAAGTATCCGTCCTCTTCACGCCTCCTGTTCCTTTATTGGTCGTCTCCTGTATATCCGTTCATCACTTATGCCTTTCCTAACTTCGCAATATTTAAAAAAACAGGAAGCCTTACAGTTGTAACTGTAACTAGTGCTTCAAGATTTTGGTCATAAAATTTACTATTTTTTGATTAAATTAATTATAATAATAAAAAATACATCTCAAAGTACCACAAGGAAGGCAAAATATAGTAGACTCCATCTCGTTTTCTTAAATACCTAATCATCAATAAATGATCCTTGCACTTAAGAGCGAATATTTCCGCAAGCGTTCCGGCGCTCGCTTGAGTGCCGAATAG